GGGGTCAGGGATCCTTTCTTCGGTATTTCTAACAGGTGGCAAAGTGTCTGGCACGTAGTGGGTATTTTCAGTTTTGTTTTTAAAAGATGTGAACATGAGGAATTATTATTTTTTTTTGAATGCTGTATTGGTTATTTTGTTTGTAAATTCCTACATGCAGTCTCCTGTCCTTACTAAAAAGTTTAGGTTCTAAAGGTCTGTTCCTAAGTCCCATTTGTTCGGAATTCCAGAATAGGGGCCGCTGTTAACATGTCCACAGAGTTAAGTTTTAAAAGAGCTGTGTGTTTTGTTTCTTTCCTAATTTTTCACTTCTTACTCTCACTGTAAACGCTTTCACTTCTTTCGCACTTAAGGGAAGAGATGGAATCAGTGTTTGTAAAACCATTCCAAAATAAGTACAAATGCAATGAAATTAACCAGCAAAGCACATGACAAACTAAAATGACAGCACACAGCCATGAATGCCTTCTGATGGTGACAGGCAAAAGCGCCTTTTCGTATTTGTCCTGGCTCCTTTGTTATTTCATTGCACGTCCCTAAGATCAAGTAACTTACCTAAGAGGTTCTGTTTCAGTTGTACCCCTCTCTCCCACATGGATGCCCACAGGGGCACATGCAGACACCCATACCGCAGATGCTTTGTAAGGGATGGGCTGCTCTCAGATTAGTTCGGTTGGGAAAATCAGATGGAGACTCTCTTTCTGAAACCTATTTCATGCAAGGCAGGCAAATTGTGCCTTCATTTTCTGTTGTCTGTGGCTTCATCTGTAATCAGCAAATGCAGTCCCGCCGCTGAGACAGTGCTTCATCTGCAGTTTGTTGCTCTCCCCTAGTCTGCACAGCACTGAACCGTCTCATTTTGAAATTCAGGAGTGGCAGAGGAAGCCTTTGGTGAGAGATTATAATTTGAGAGAAGGGGAAGTCAAGAGCAAGATCACCTATTTTGAAGAAGGCTGGGTGTTAAAGGAAATAATCTGTCTTGGAGCCTCTCAGCATGTGTGCTGCTGTTGACCCTGCCCTCCATCACCAGTGACCTAAAAATCACATAATTTCAACTATTCATGAAACCTAGTCCCATCTGTTATGCATGGCTTGTGCACTTACCCCCTCTATTGCTAGCAAATATGTCTAAATCTTCGTACTTCACAGCCAGCCTTCTGTTGTTGGCGGGCTGGCTTTCTTGCTTTCTTGCTTGCTTCCCTGATTGTGAAATGAATGCCTTAGAAACATGCCCCCCCCCCCCCCAGATCTCTTCCTTATTCTTCTGCCCTCCCTGCTTTCCCTCCCAGTGCTTGTTTGCTAAATGCTTCCTTTGCCAAGTATGGGGCCAAGTCACCTTATTTTCAAAAAGCACTGCAGGTAATTCTCATGGACATTAATTTTTCCCTGGGAATCACTAGCCTTTATCATGGTAGACAAATGAATCAACTGGCCGTTGAAAATCGTCATTCATTGATGGTAAAAATTTATTTTATAAATCACACAGTTTCCTTCCCATATTGCAGCAGTGCTGTGTAGACCACCCATGTTTGTTTAAGGAAATTCTTAAATTAGTTGCTAATTGTTGGTTGGTGGATAGATAACATGCACACATAGACGGGTGTGTAATCACACGCACAACTCTTTAGAGTGTTATATGGTGAGTAATTTATAATCAGTCTTTTTGTCTCTGATGCTTTTTGCTTATAGTGGACAGTTCTTGTCATTTTCCCTCCAAGACAGTCAATGAGAAGTTAAATGATTACTTTCTACATAGTAAGCAGCCAGTGAATGTTTACAGAGGGAATGAATAAACACCAGCCTGGTTTATTCAAGAATTACACCAAAGTGTCTATGTAGCAATTTCTAAATAAAACTGTATCTTTGAAAGAATAAAGATATCTTTGAGAATATAAACCTCTTCTTTAATAAAAACCTTTTAAAGACTCTTGATTTTTTTTCTTACCTCTTAAGCCACCACCTCTACACACACTTTGATCCTTTCTCCCTTCCCCTCTCTTCCCCACCCAACACCCTCCAGCATTGAAAATCTCAATATTAATTGGAGCTAAGATGATTGTACGGCTGCTGCTAAGGCTTCAGCAGGTCTCTTACAAGCTAATGTCACGGCATGGGGTCCATTTACTCTGTGTAGCTACTCTGTGGTGCCGTGAGAATATGCCTTGATTAATATGCTACATGAAACTAAAATGGATTTGGAAAAAATTATACCATACTCTCATAAATATTAATTCACATTTGTATGGAATTGCACATAATTTTCAATATACTTTGGAGCACCTTCAGTATGAGAGGAGATTTGGTCTCCAAAGAGAATGGCATAATTTTTTTAAAAGCACGGTTGATACATTATTTGGTATCATTTGTTTATTAATCCGAGACTCTACACGTGTATATATGCCAGGCAGTAGGTGGGTTGGATGACAAAGAGAAGTTTTTTTTTTGTTTTTGTTTTTTTTTTAACAACCCTGTGGGGGAGTTTATACATTACTCTTAAAAGAAGTAGTACAATTAATCATAGTATATAGAAGCGGTCCACGATGGAACTCAGCCTGGCTGCTTCTGCTCTTGTTGCCATCATTCCTGAGCGTCTTCACAAGACATGACTATTTTGGTTGCGTGTGATGTTAAACACAGGATGGTCTGAGCTGAGCAGATGTCTAACATAGCTGACTGTGGTGGTGGACGCTAGAGGAATAAATACAGCGGATATTTATTGAGCATTGACTATGTGTTAGACATTTTGTACAAGGTTCTGAGACTGGAATCGATGGCCATGTGCACTCATTTCGATCTCAGCTTGTCCCCTAAATGCTTGCCACCACACATCCTCCTCGCCTCAGGAGAGCTGCCTCTCCAACGGCAGAGGGTAGATCATCTGCATTGATAGCAGCTAGAAGTTAGACCGGGAGCCACTCATTTGCCTGATGAGACTTACTTTTGATATCTTCTTGCTCTGGCGGTAAGGCCTTTCCCCCTTCTCAGGCTTCTTGCTGTTTGCCGTGATCCTTGTTTCCGCAGTACCTGTGAGGTTCCTTGGTTTCCACTTTTCTAGTTTGCTTCACTCTGTATTAGTACCAGCTTGGGGTATTATCAAATCACTGTTGTGGCTTATAGGCTCGGGTACTTTAACTAGTTGCCTCGTTTATTTATTTATCTAGTAAATGTAAACATAACACTTGTTTTTTGCCTGACTCTGTATGTGAAGCATTGGGGTTACTGAGATGAATGATAACTTCGTCTGTGCCCTGATTCTTTTAAGGGGTCATGCTGCCAGCTGCCTCAGAGCCTTGGCACAAGCTGTTCTCTCTGCTCAGACTTTCAGAACTAGGTCAGGTGGCAGTCGTCTCCTCAGCACCAGCCTACTATTCTGGACTAGACCATTTCTCCCAGTTTTAGCACCTTTTGCCTTACCTTTAGAGCAGATAGTTCAGTTTGCAATGATATATTTATGTGATTTGATTAATATTTGTCCCTAAATTTTAAGTTCCAGGAGGTGGGGATTTTTTTTCCTCCACACGATTGTTTTCCCAGCCCCTATAGGACAGTGCTGAGTTTGTATGATACTGGGCCCACAGAAAATACTTGTATAAGTGAAGGCTTGAGAACAGTGCTTTGCATGGTAAGAAAGGTCTTCCTGAGTGGACAGGCCCTGCTAAGAGTCCTTTAACTAGAAAAGGGAGGGGTGTGGAAGGTAGGGCTTTGAGGCCGAGGCAAAGCAGATGTAAATGTCCGAGCTCCCAAACTAATGGCCACGGCTGATTTGGGGAAAGACCTCGAGGAGCAGCGTGTATGTCAAGTGGGCAGTACTGGATATCGGGAGGCAGTAGGATAGAGAACTACCTTGGGACTACTGGCCATAAGGGGTGGGAAGAGAGGGGGGTAAAGAGAGAGGTAGAGAGAGAGAGAGGTATTTTAAGGAGAAAATGGGTAAAGGGAAAATTTTGTCTTAGTTTTTATTATTTGTTTGAATGCGCATTCATTTAGGACCACAGGAAACAGAATTTATTTATACGGGGGAAGGCTCCATGAAGGAGCATTTTCAGTGTAAATAGGATCATATCCACTCATTTACAAACGACTGAGTGCCAAATCTTTCAAATTTCAGGGCTTCATGTGTACATTTCTCAGGGTTCAAAGGACATTCGCACGTATCCTACCAGTGGTGTACTTCAAGTCTCCTAATGAATAATGTCAGTGTCAGGCTTTGGACCCAGGTCTTCTGGTATTTCCGTAGGTGCTGAACTGCCTGCAGGCACAGAACTCACTGGATCTTGTGGCCTGAAATGCCCGCCTGTAGTCTCTGAAGCTGCTGCTTCCTATTCCAGGACATCCATTACGTTTCTCCTACCTTCCCACCCCCCAACCACACACAAAGCAGTAAATGAAAAGTGGCTGTAGATCTTGGTGATAATATTGTTGTTACATTTTGCAAAGAACTGGGAATTAAGGATGCTCAGAGGAACTTGTGGTAAAAATGTATAATGCATTAAGGAAACATTTTAATCATATGAATTGATAGTTTCTTTCTTGCTGGCTCACATCCACCTGGCCCTGGTATGTTCAGGCTTTTGCCTTTTTTTTTTTTTTTTTTTTTTTAAATCATGCACGCACTTAGTACTCCTTTTCTGAAACATAATTGATGTACCAACTTGGAAAGTGAGTGTATTGAGCCTCCTTGGGGAATGTCATTGTGTGCTGCTGGACCTAGCAGAGAATCAAATTGAAAGCCACTAAGCAAGTGAAATCACTTTTAATGGACAGATGCTTTGTGCTTTGTTGACTTTTCTGCCCAACAAGAATAGAAAGGATATATTTGTGGTGGCATTAGGTATTCAGAAAAATTGAGAGCCCCGTTTCTTAGTTTTAGTTGTTCTCTTCCTATCTCCCTTCCTGCTTTCCCCTCTCCTTTTTTGTAACCCCATTTAGCCTGTATTTTGGGTGTGACCCTGGACACATATATAACCATCACTTCCCTCTCCTTCTCTTCTTCTCTATAGAAAGATGTAGCACTTAAGCCTCAGGAACGTGTGGAGAAACGCCAGACCCCTCTGACCAAGAAGAAACGAGAAGCACTTACCAACGGCCTGTCCTTTCATTCCAAGAAGAGCAGACTCAGCCACCCACACCACTACAGCTCGGATCGAGAAAATGACCGCAATCTCTGCCAGCACCTTGGGAAGAGAAAGAAAATGCCTAAAGGACTCAGGCAGGTGAGGAAGCGTGGGTTTGTTCTTCTCTGTGGCTGCGAAATCCCTTCCTCAGGTGCCTGCCTCTCTGCGGTTCTTCGTGCCAGGTGGAGAAGACCTCCTTGGCGGGCTGCGGGAGAATTACCCCACAGAGCTGTGTACTTGCTTCTAACAGAATATACCAAGCCCAGCTCAGTGTTTTATTATGATTTGAAACTTCAGTGTCGGTTTCTTTTTATCAGATGTTCTGTGTGCCATAAAGCTTGACGCCGGTGCTACTGGCGTGTGGGGCAGATTGACTGGACTCTTGATGCTCGTCAAGGTAGACTGGCTTGTAGGGCAGAGATCTTCATAATTGGGACAAAATGGAATGGGCAGGTGTGATCGCGTCCATTGTGGGTCTCAGGGTTCTGAGGTGCTAAAAATGGTTGTCTGTAAGCAGGCAGTACCTTGCATAGGATTTATATATTCCAGAGCAGCTCAAATATTGCGTGTGGGAGAGCAGTGGTGAAGAAATGAATTTGCCTTTCGGTTCTTCAGTTGTTCTCTGTAGTCCATAATTCAAGACTGTCTTCGCGATCTGCTGATTGTATGAAAGTCTGGTAGTAGGGCTTACTGGTCTGTTAATAATTAGGTTTCAGTGATCCACAAGAAAATATAGCTCTTGGCATTTGGGAGCCTTTCTGCTTGTGGAAATCCCCACATGAGATAGATTAATAATGAGAAACAAAGCTGTTTATAGCAATTTTTTTTTTCCTGCACAAATCCAGAGGCTTTAGTGCTTGCTGAGTTACCTGTGTCCTGGGTGTGTTTTGTTTGTTTTTGGCGGGACCACTGGGTAGGAATGACTATTACTTGAAGGAAGTAGAGGAAGGGAGTATGGTTCACAGAGCAGGTGCTGCTAATTAGAAGCTGAATGGGTAATTTCCAGTTTGCAGATGTTTCTTTGCAGAGGGAGAAATCTGGGATCATACAAAACAGTGGTTCCAAAAGTTCACAGATCATTAGTAATCCTATCATGAGCATTATTAAACACAAATTCTGGCCCCTCCTTAGGACCTAATGAACCAGAATCCCTAGGGGCAAGCCACCGAACTCTGTGGTCTTAGATTTTCTATTTGATAATGGCCACACCACTCTGGAAATGATTCTTATAAATCATCAAGAGTGTATTTTTGGTGATAAGTTTTAGTGAAAAGATTGGAAGGACCCAAAACTTCAATATGACCTAGTCTCTAGTAAGTATGGAGTCCAAGGTCAACCTGTTGGGTAATGAGGGATATATTCCCAAGAAAACATCTAGAGTGGTGGATGTCAGCATGGACACAGAAGGATCTCAGAAATGTCCCCACATCTGACACACAGGGCAGGTTTTCTGAAGATACATGTCCTGAAATGAAATGCCAGATTGGAGTTCTAGTAGTAATTATTAACATTTATCTAATGCATACCATGTGACAGTCATTAACAAGGGAGTTTATATAATCTGTAATTCTCACAGTCTCCTTGGGTAGTGGGTAATGTGATGTTGACTTTCCAGATGGGGAAACTGGAGGTCAAAGAGTTAAAGTGACTTGTCTCAGGCCACTTAGCAATGAGGTACAGAGCCAGGGTTTAGACCCAGGTTTCTTTGTGTTGCTCTATTTCCCCTGTATATTCTGCCTCCCTTATTTGAGATAAGGATTGAGCACGAAGAGAAAGAGAACACCAGGTCATCGGTTGCAGGTGTCTCCAAGTATTCCTAGGAACAATGTGAGTAGTTTGGTCATAGGGAGCGACTTTGGTTATAGAAATGGTCTGTGAGGGCCTAAAAAGAAACCGGATAACCTACCAAGTTCAGAGAGCACAGAAAGAGCTGAAAAGTTTGAAAGCAACCACATTTGTACGAAGATTTTTTTTTTGGTAGACTGTTTCAAGAAAGAGAGTGGAGCGAGGGAGGAAGGGCTAGGTTTTATAAAAGCTGATGTTCCCGTGGTATTTGTGACTCCCCTTATCTTCGCCATGCCTCTCTGTGTGCAATCAGTGAGAAGGGTAATTATTACCCATGGAGAGAGGTTGCAGCACAACCACCATCTCTCCCCCAGGCCCTCCCTCCCTCCTACCCTTTCAAGCAAGAAACCAGTTTAATTCCGAGTCTGCGCTAAAGTGTGTGGTTCCTTATCCTTGACTCTTTTACTGCCAGACTTGGTCTGACTTTTCCATTCTCTGTTTTCAAAATTCTTCTTTCTGCTTTGTCCTCTGGTGATCATAAAAGAAAACGAGGACTTGTATATCTCAAATTCAAGTAGCTTTTGGTCCTAATGGTTAACCTTCTGGTACAAGTGGTATCTGAAATCAAAACTATCCTTATTTTAGGCAAAATATTTGAAAAGCAATTTTTTTTGACTCACTCCTCATGAATCATGGAGAAGGAAAGAATGAGTTGTACCTTTTTAGTCTATGTAAGAGTTTTCAAAACAAGTGGTGTTTTTCTTATCTTCAGTGTTGATGCCAAAATATACTCCCCAAATCAAGTGTTATTTTTCTAGTAGGAAGGGAAGCAGAAGTTGATAACTGAAATAAAGCTCTACCACTTTTCATTTGTAGTCTTCCTAGAATCACATGTACTGTTTTGAAACCCGGAGCAAATCACTGTCCATTGCTGCCCATCTGGAAAATGAGGGTTTTGGTCTAGGTGATTTCTCGGGCTCCTCTCTCTTGAGTTTCAGTGGTTCTTTAAATTTATGACCAACCCAGAGATTACATAGCGTTTTCAAGGTCTGTGAAGGAAGACTGCTGTAGGCCCAAGTGTAATTTTGGTTTGGAGTCTGTAATCGATAGTTTCTGTGAAGACATTTAAAGGAGAGACGTGTGAGGGAGAGGCATGGCTACATGTGTGTTGCCTGGACGCATGCCATCTGTTGTGTGATCATTGGTAAAAGGTGACACACAAGTGTTGGAGGGCCACTGTAGATGTTCAGAAGCTTGTGCTGAGGGTATTGCCAGATACCTGTACACATCGCAGTTACTGTTCCCCTTATCTTCGCCTCGTATGAGACAAAAGTAGCTGACTCTGACCATCTTAGCTGGGAGGGGGGGCCTTGAGGTGAGTGTCTTTTAGGAGAATTTCTAAATTAATGGATTGTTGCTTAGTGCCTCTTATTGAGGGAGGTATAGTCGGGAGAACTACAGAGGAAAGAGGGCTGTAGGAGGTGAGAATTTAGTCTTTATTTTTGACTCGGTGACAGTGGATTAGGTTTGCATCTGATTAGGAAATGGTACTTCCTGAGCAGGCACCTTAATGCACAGCTTTCCTGTAATTATGGGAAGATGTTACTCCTTCGTGGAGAGGAAATAATAGGATTTTTTTTTTTTTCCTGAGAATCCGTTGAAGGCAACTCATCTTTTTACCATGAGAGTACAATTATATATTTTTATAAGAGAGATGTGTAGTTCTAAAACCAAGCTGCCTTTTCCTTCTCTTCCTGATTATAAACCTCAGTTCTCCTGGTATTTTCTCATCCTGGGAAAAGAAAGCTTTTTAACTGGCACTTAACCACCCCAGTGGAACTCATTTGTTGGATTATGTTTTTAAGTATAAATATATCCTGACTTAGAAGATGCTGAGCTGGCAGCTGTCTTTCAAAATGGTTGCACTTTTTTATATGGCAAGGTTGGACATTCTCCTTAATTTCCAAAGGGGGGTTTAAAAACAAAGAAAGGAACAAGTTAACTTTTACTGAAGAATGCATGTCTTTCTGACCCCCCAGGCTTGTATTTGTTTTACACAGAGCTATTTGCTCATGATGTGAGCATCCAGACATTATGTTTAAAAGGTTCAACTTGTACTAATAAGGATGTGGTAGGGCTTCCCCTCTACCCCTCCCCCCCCACCATCTCTACTTAGACTTGGGAGGGGGAAACCAAAATAGAGGCTGCCCAGGCCGTCCCTGTAAGGAGCCTTGTTCTCTAATTGCAAGACTAAGTCTCAGTGCAGCCCCAGAAGGACACAATGACATGACACGCTGCCAAACCTTGGAGCCAGCCGAGGACTTCCTCAGAAGCATTTTTGGAAAACTTAACCCTTCCTAGGGCTTTGGGTTTTCTTATATTATGTCTCACTTCTAGATCATGGGAGAGGATTTAAAATTTTACTACTTTGTAGTTGAAAACACAGCAGAGGGGTTCTAAAATTAGAGAAGCAAGGAGGAAAAGTTGATGGGAGTTAAGAGAACTCTCAGATTTGGCTGGGCATGGGTGTTTCTAAACCTCCATATAGTCCATTAGCCTCTTTCCTCCCTCTAGTAGGAACCCAACCAGAGGAAATAGGCTTTAGTGAAGTACGAGCAATTCTTAGGCCATATGAACTCTTTCAACAAGCGGGTATCAGGATCGGTCATCAAAGTAAATCCCAGAGCCTCCCTCCTAACTGAATTTTAGTTTCCAAAACGCCACTCAGCTAAGGGCTGGACTTCTCAGAGAAAGAGGCAACCTATTGAGATTGCTTAGAGCCACGGGAGGATCCCATTTGAGAGGGAAATAAAGGAGTTGGGAGTATTTCAGGAGCCCAGCAGGTAGACTCTGACCTTGCTGGTGAGAATGGCTTTTTTGTGGTTTAAAAATCTTTATACAAGCTGATCTGGGTGGGTATTGCTTGTAAGGAATGGAAATTTGCTCCTCTCCCTGAAAATCTACTACGGTGGAATCAGACTTGGTGGAGGATTTGTAGCTGCTGACATTGTAGATATCAAAAAATGTATACTGGTGTCCAGGAAGAAGAGGGATTGGTCCCAGTGCGAAGTCTTTAAAGTTAGAGCTATTGTTAGAGCTGTGGGGCTTGCATCTGCCTTGTGTATTGCCATTGCGTGTTGGCCTTATTTGGAACAAGTGGTTGTGTTGGTGGAACAAAAGGGCCCAGGTGACCAAGCCACCCAGCTGTGCTTGCATCCCTCATGCTGGAGCAGTCTATCTGCTCAGGCTCTTTCCCAGTGAGAGCATTTACTACCAGAAGCTGATCCTTTATTTCAGTGTGACTGACTCAGGTT